TTGCCAAAACTGGTTATCCGGAAACTGGTGAATGACTTATACTTCGATATATCGAAGGGTTGGTCTTCCACTGATCATACAAAATTGATTTTTTCGGATACGCTAAGAAGCAACTGATTAATTTCTAGAACTTTTAACTTCCACATACAAGAAAAAATTGGTTTTTTAAACTTCCTGACAGCGATATTTTGTTATGTTCTTTGTCTTAGTTATGAACGAATGAAATTCTTATTCAAGTACTCAACGTAAATCATAATTTTGTCAAGAGAATGCAATATCGAAATTTCATACAGATATCAAATGACCACATCACCAACATAGCAGCGACCGCGATGATGAAAAAATTTACTTAAATCTTGTGGATTGTAGCAAGGTTTCCTGCTCTGTCAGTTATGTGACGTCCTTGGACAGTCACTTTACCATCACCTGAGATTTATATTAGACATAATCAAATGGTTGCAAGGACTCTTATGAAGAATAGCCCTATTGCAAGATTCCTTTTAAATGTGACTTCGAACTTTACAGAAGTAGCAACCCGACATCTCAACAGCAGCAGGATTTCTTGTTCACTGGTTTATTGAACGTTAGGTTTGCTCACATTTTGGCAATTTGAAAAAAAAATTTTGCGACGTCACGGCAGGTCCCAAAGAAAGTACATCCCATGCATGGCTTTCTTGTAGACAATATAGTAAGCAGCATGGGCAAGGGCAGACGCGCAATGTGTACTGCACACTATTGTTCGACTTCTCTATTCTCTTCAGCCTGCAATACTATTCTTCGGCTGAAGCGGCTGGAAACGATTGCATTACCTCCTTTTAGTGTCAATATCTTGGAATGGTTCAATCACTAATTCTCGTTACTTATGCAGTGTCTCAATGAGTAGCAGTTCTTCGTCACATAAGAGCAACAGCCCTGGAAATATTCAGAGCACTGCCATCCCTCCATTTTCAGTTTTCACATTAACTCGTACCGCTCTGACTATCACTTTATCAGTACAAAAACACTGCTGATCTAATGAGTCAGAACATGGGAGCTTATAAAAACGCACAATCAAACACCTGCAGTCCGATCTTGGTCTCATTTTACCTCAGTCAGCCAAACACCAATTTTTGGTACTGAATACTCAGAGGGTGACGCTTCAGCGGGAAGAGCACAAAAAATATGTCAGTACTGAAACTCTGTCGCCAGTGACCGAGGTAAATACCTGGGAGTCATACTTTCTTCCCATTTGAAATGGTCATCTCAAATAGCCGTGGATTTCAAAGAAAGGAAGGCATCCTATTTTGAACATAGTTTAAAGCCCTGATGTGCAGGCCATATTCGTCATCTTCATCTTCCAAGGCCACTTCTCCTTCCGAGGCAGACGCGTCAGACAGAGCTTCCAATGTTCCTGATCCCGCGCCAGAGTCTGAGCTTCGGCAGAAGATAACTGGAGTCTGGAACAGTCTCCTTCCATATATTTGCACCAGGATAATTTTCACCGTCCACTGGGCCCTCTGCCAGACGGTTTCGGAAGAAACAATTGCTTAGCCTTCTTATTAGGTGGCCTTCACAATACATGCCCAAACTACCAAAGCTGTGACTTCTCAATCTGGAGAAGCAAAGGCTGTACACCAAGGCTCTTCCAGATGTCAGTATTCCGGA